CAATTGCAACTTTTATCCATTCCTTTTGTTTCGGAAATAAATTGAGAATTCTAGAGAGTATGAGAAAAATTCCCTGTCAATAGGGTTCTAGTTTAAATTAATTAACAGATTTGTGTAAGATTCAAACATTTTACATAATTCTTTATTTTCATTGGATTTGGACAAGATCTAAAATTCACAAATATGAACAAGTGGGTAATCAAATCATAGAAAGCTCCACTCTTTCTTACATCAAGTAACTAAATAGTTAGCTCTAAATTCTTCAATTGTATGTTTGGTACACCAGAAATGGATTGGGATTAGGATAAATAATCCTAATGCCATGCTTATTGACTAATATTAACTGGATTCATAAGCCATTGACCTAAAAATAATCCTCCATTTTTATCCTGTATGAAATCCCTTCCCCCCAAACACACAACACAATCTACTGCCAACCACCCTCTACACTTAACAACTGGCCGTCCCTTACAACGGCGACGGCACCGAGCTTCCATTCGTCCGCAACAGTGAATGATGACTGAGCTTCTCCGTCCATTAGGGTGGCAAGGAAACAACACAATCCCTTCTACTTTTGTGAATTTCTTTCTTGTGGAGTTGAAATTTATGTAATATATATGATTAATATTCTTGATTTCAAAAAGGTTACAAGTATCGTCTGTGGTAAGTCTATACATGACTCTATAGCATTTTATCTTCGGCTATCTACTTTTTCCTATAAAATTGTCTTTATAGCGTGATGGTCTCGCTCAGTTCATGATAAATTCATTTAATTTATCTCTCTAGTTTTCTTTGTAGTAAGATCAATATAATCATTTGTTTGACTTATGAAACTTGAACTTGAAAATATTGGTGAATTTTAATTCCTTTAGTTTTTAATTAGTTTTTCTAAAAATTTATAATTAATTTAAATTATTTATTAGTTATAACATTTAATTTAGTCCACTCTAACAATACACCAAATGCTAAATTGCTTTTTTCAGATGTCTAATTCAACAGTTTACTATGCACCATATCTTATTATAAGCAGTCCAATCCTGATAATCCTATCCAATCAGACGTGGCAAAGAAGATCAAATTCACTAAGGCCCCGTTCATCTCACCGATTCGAATTTAGAATTCGAGTTTTACTACGGCAAAAAACTCTTAGAAACAGTCACATTTAACTTTTTTGTTACAGTAAAAATTTTTCACATAAAATCACATCTCAGCTCGAATTAAAAATTCGAATCAGCGAACTAAACGAGTCCTAAATTATACCCTTTTTCTCTAGAAATGTGAGAAGTTTTGATAAACAAGTTGGAGTCAAGTTGTATTCACTAATATCCTCTCAGTTCCAACAAAATCAAGAAGAGATATGGCTCTAACTGCGTCCTCGCTAAGAAAAATAAATAGTGACCATATTTTTGCCCATCTTATACAATTATGGGTCATGCCATTCAATCAAGGGAAAAAGGAAAAGAGGAAGAAATTTACAAGATTTGGCTGGTCCAAAATGGCCCACAAATTTTACCTTTTATTTATTTTATTTTTTGCTTTTCTCAATCCTTTTCCCATGTGCTTGATTTTCTTCAAAATCGTGTCCATTGGTCTATCTTTAGTACATTTCAACTAGTGAGAAACACAAGATATGGAAAGATTGAGAAAATCTTGAAGTAATGATATTTTGATATTAGGAGACATATGCGTAAATTGTTTTTTAGTATAATTGTTCTAGAGGGTCAATTTCGATTTGGCTGAGGTCTCACAGCTTCTGCAGGCAATTTTGAAGAAACTTCTTAACAAGAGGGGACAAAAGTGAAAGCGAATCAATTTGAGATTTCATCAAATCTTTAATTTTCTTGCCTAAAAGTCTCCCCAATATGGTTTGAATAGCAAATCAAGTAGGTAAAAGTGAAACTTCAAGGAATAAATGTTTGGTTATTTACATCCATCTCCTTCTTCTTTTCTTTTCTTTTTTTTTTTTTTTTGTTCTCATCCTAATAGCTAAATATGTATATGTGATGACAAAAAAAAAAAGGGGTTTTATAGTTACATAAACCACCACAGAGTACTATTTATTTTGGTAAGGGAAAAACTCTAGACAAGTTAATTTAATGCAGTTAAGATGTTGTTGTTTTAGCATCTGATGGAGAAGTTTAGGTAGGTTATTGTTTTTTCTCACTATACTAGTGTAATTCCACGTGCGATAGACGTGTGGAGTGATCCGAATGTTAAGTTTTAATTACTGTGTTATTAAACATATAAAATTTGAATATAAAATCTCAAAAAGGAAAAAAAAGAAAAAAAAAAGAAAGAAGTTTTGGAAGAAAAAGGGGATAAAAAAAACTAAAATGAATAAATAAATAAGTTTTCGTAAAAGGGACCAAAATGAAAAATAAAATTTGAGAGTATAAATTTAAAAAGGGTTAAAATTGACCAAAGAAATATAGGACAAAATGAACCAAAATGGAAAAGAAATAAAATTTATGGGAGAAAAATGAAAAAAAATAAAGTTTCAAGGGGGAAAATAAAAAAAAGGTACCGAAATAAATAAATTTTAAGGTACCGAAATAAATAAGTTTTGAGATACCACCGAAAAGGAATATTTAGGTAGAAAAATATAAAATTTTGGGAGAAAAAAGCAAAAGGAAAAAGATGAGAAAAAAAGGAGAAAAAAACCATGAGAGCAAAAAAAAAAAAAAAATCATTACTGTTCTTGCTTTTCAACCAAAATGTCGCCGTTTCGGTCGAAACCGTGTGCCAACAGTACCGAGGATTGAGTTTTCTATTATATAGATAATATGAAATGATCAGTATCATAGCCATGTTTAGACAATAAAGCACATACCCCATAAAAAATTCAATTTTTAATTTTTACCCTTAAAATTTATAAACGTTTCAATTAAATCCTCATTTTTCTCCCTTAAAAATTTCTAACGATAAAAGTGTCCACACAAAAATTTTATATATTTTTAACTTTTACACATGAATTTGGTAAAAGTTTCAATTGAATTCTCATTTTGTGCTACTGAAATTTATGTACAATTATTTTAGAGTGATTCTATTTGCACACTCCTTTAATTCTGTACACTTCTTTTTAAATTAAAGTTTTTATTATAAAAAACATCTTTACATAAAATTATAAAAAGACAATTTAATTACGTAATTAAATTTTATTATTAAAAAGAAACTAATGATAAGGTTTTTTTTTTATTTTTTTTTTATTTTTTATAAAGTTTTGTTTTGTTTTTTTCTTTTCTTTGTTTTGCTTATGTTGTTTTACTGTTGTGCATTTGTCATTCTGTCTTTTTTGTTCACACTGATATCCTTTTTTTTTTGTTTCCATTTTTGTTTTTTATTTTATTATTTGAGATGTTTTTGCTGTTTATTATTATTTTGTTTAATTGCTTATAAGAAAAAAGGCTTAATGCCTAAAGCTTAAACTAAAAAGATAGAGAGATGGAGAAACGATAAGCTTAAAGTACCAAGTTAAAATTAAATGATGACTGTGAAAAGATAAATAAAGTGGTCAATTTATGAAAATATTTAAGGGTAATTTTGAAATAATTAGGGCATGTAATTATAATGGTTTTTTGTAACGAGCTTTGGTCACACTCGATTTTTTTATTTTAAATAGGTCTCTTTTTATTGGGTCTCGGTACTTTTGTTTGCCCTTTTACTTCATCTATTTTTATTGGTGGATTTATTTAATATTCAGGGTCGAATTCTCTTATAATTGGAGGTCATCTGTGACTATTTATGTAAGTTGTTAAATTTATAATGAAGTTTTCTGTTAAAAAAAAAAAAAAAAAAAAACTAAATATACCTCTATTTTCTTTTTTGATAACAAATGTACCTCTATTTTCTCAAAAATAACTTTTTAACTTTCGGAATCTACTTTCAAAACTCAAATAAACATTGGTATATTTAAAAGAAAAATAAAAAAGTAAAAAAGAAACAAAGGGCTAAAAAAAAAAACGTGTTCTCTCTGAAATAGATTCTTTGCACCACCCGTGATGGTCTAGGATCCTGCGATTTACCGGCCCCAAATGATGGACAAATTATTGAGAATTGGTTTTATAGATGAAATGCGATTTATATCAACTGTAGAGGTAATAATTAATATTACAAAGTAAGTTCTTAGCTCTCTCTATTAAACTTGAAAATATGTCTCAACTTTCAAAGAGCATAGGATGAATAATATCCACATTCCCTTTCTTACTTATTATCATCTCTCACGCGCCTTTAAATTAACGACACGTGATTTCAGTAATTTAATTAGGTGGTTAATTTTAAGGAAGTTTTACTGTTGGGAGATAAAATTACCCGACACAAGTATTAAGAAGTAAATTGTATGATCTTAACTGTAAAAAAAAAAAAAAAAAAAAAAAATTAAGTGAATAATATCCACATTCCCTTTCTTACTTATTATCATCTTAACTGTTGGAAAAAAGCTTTAATTTTTAGGCTCCTTTGGAAGGGTTTCAAATGAGGTTTGAACTTGTGGTTTGAACTTTTATTTAGATGTCTGTAAAAAAAAAAAAAAAAAGGTTTAATTCATATGATTTCTCATTTTTAAGGTTGAGGAGGGTTCAAATGTCCCATTAAAATTTTAATCCAGATATGTTTTATAAAATCCCAAACGAAAATTCTATTGAACCTGAGAGTTCAAACCCGTTTAACTCATTTATCAAACAAGCTCTTATTTGTTACTAAATCCAGTCAAATTCCGTGTCATTTTTTTTTAGATAAACTATCACATGAAAGTGACAAAACATAGTAACTTTGATTACACTCAATGGGGGTAAAAAATCCAAATTAGGGGGTATGAATGGAATTATCACAAGGTTGAAAGATATTTGGTTCAAGTTTATATTCCATTGCCCATTGGGGAGCTCAATCAATGGGGGGGTAATACTAATACAAATGGGAATGGGATTATAAAGGAGGATTGATGGATAACACATGGGGCGTGTAGAAGAGAGAAGATGGGCATGCATGGGAAGCAAATCTTAAAAGGGAATCAAAAGAAATTGCCCTCTCCTTTGCCCACCACTCTCCCCCCCACCTGCTCAAGATATGGTAAGCGCCACATGATTTCCACACCCCATAGGAAAAAGGCACCATTGCTGACATCACCTGTATCTCTTCCGGGGATTTTGGTGGGCCCCACATCTCTCTCTCTCTCTCTCTTTCTCTCTCTAAAGTCTAAACTCTACTCCCCCGCACCTTTGCCCTTTTGCTTTCATACAAGACTCTCTATTAATTTTTCAGATTTTCTGTATCCTCTCTCTCTCTCTCTCTCTCTCTCTCCTCTCCTATTCTTAGTATATAGTCTTTGCTATGATATGTATGTCACCGCCACAACCCATCAACCCGCCCCCAACGAAAAAATATATACATTTATGGAGATTTATGATTTTGCCCATTTAATTATTCATTTTTAGTTAGTTGTTCTAGAGTGGGGGGGTTCTTTTTTTATTATTGCATTGCTTGTCCCTTAATTCAAAATCAACTTGGAAAATTTGCAAGATTTGGGAGGAAACCTGGTCGGATCTTGCTTTGTGGGGGGGTGTGGATTTTGGTGGGTCTTATTTCATTACAAAGCTCCTCTCTTTTTTCATCTCCCACAAACCAAAAACTAAAAAATAGTTAACCAACAAAAAAAAAAAAAAAAAAAAAAACCCATCCAGAAAAACTTGTTTCTTTGCCAAAGATTGGATTTTTGGTTTAGTGCAATGGGAATGGCAGCTACAGAGTCACAATTTCATGTTTTGGCTGTTGATGACAGCCTTCTTGATAGAAAGCTTATTGAGAGGCTCTTGAAGACCTCATCTTATCAAGGTAACTTTCCTTTTTTGTTTGGCAAGAAAGAAACTTTTTCCTAGAAAATTCAATTCTAGCTTAATGGGTCTTCTTTTTCTGCTTTTTTATTACTGGGTTTTGGATTTTCATTGTGTTCTGTTTTTGTTCATGGCAGTTACTACAGTTGATTCCGGTAGTAAGGCTCTTGAGTTTCTGGGTTTTCATGAGGATGACCAAATCAATCCAGATTCTCCTTCTATTTCCCCAAATAATCATCAGGTACTGTGGTTTTCTTCTTCTCTTTTTCCCAACTTTTTTCCCTTTTCTTTCGACTTTCTGCATCATTTTCCTTTCTGCTTTTCTGAAAAATCTTTTGTTTTTTTGTTGTTGTTTTGCAGGAAGCGGAAGTGAATCTTATTATTACAGATTACTGTATGCCAGGCATGACAGGCTACGATCTGCTAAAGAAAATCAAGGTATGGTTTTTATTTTTATTTTTATTTTTCGCTTTCTCTTTGTTTCCAGATTGAAAATTTTGCAAATCTTTAGTGGGCAGTCGAAATATTTTTCATTTTTGTCTTTTTGGAACTTTTCTAACAAGTAACAACCACTTTGTCCTAAATATCTATGAAAATCTCTTTGGAATATTTTCCCAACCAACTTTCCAACCCAAGAAAATTAGGTTAACTTTCCAACCCAAGAAAATTAGGCTATAGACTTTCTTTTCCCTTCTTGGAAACTTTTATTTATTGGGATTCTTTCCTGATATTTCAGGAATCCTCATCTCTGAGAAACATACCAGTAGTGATCATGTCATCTGAGAATGTGCCTTCAAGAATCACAAGGTAATGATCCCAAAAAAAAAAAAAAAAAATCATTTGGAATTTTATTTTCCTGGAAAATTCTAGGAATTTTGGAATTCTTTTTAATTAAAATCGCTGGTTAAATATAGATGCTTGGAAGAAGGGGCAGAAGAGTTCTTCTTGAAGCCTGTACAATTATCAGACTTGAAAAGGCTTAGGCCCCATATGGTGAAAACCAAAGTGAAGGATCAAAATCTTGACAAGAAACAAGAAAATCAAGAAAACCCAGAAGAGAAACTAGACAAACAAGAGATTCAATCAGAAAAATTGCAACAACAACAACAAATGGGCAACAATAATAACAAGAGGAAGGCAATGGAAGAGAGCCTTTCTCCTGATAGAACCAGACCAAGATACAGCAATGGAGTTGCCACTGTTGTTTGATGGTTGGTCTCTTTTGAAATTTTACCCTTTTCATCTGAACCTTGTAATTTTGTTAACTCTTTTTTTCCCCCCCTTTTCTTTCTTTCCCTTTTTTTTTTTTACCCCATTACTGCTGGTTAATACTGGCTGAATAGGAGTTGTAGAGAAAGAGCTTTCTCATGTATACAGTTTTACATGGAAATCTTTCATTCACAAATTTTGTTGTGCTAATTACAAAAAAAAAAAAAAAAAAAAAAAAACCAAGCACTGTGTATGTGAATTGTGATTAATGTATGTTGCAGAGCAATAGATTGATAATTGGCCAGAGCCAAGAACTAATTTTGAGTTAGAAACTTTTTTGTTTAATTGCCATAATTTATTACACGTCCCTCCTAATGCCAAAAGCACACACTTGAGCTGAAAAACTTTGGTTACAAAGTTGATAGGGAAAACAATTGGGTCAAAACAGTAATTCTAGTTTTACAAAACTTGTTAATGTTGATGAAATAAAATGCAAATGCATTCATGGTATTTTAACTGATTTCAGGCGAAGCCAAAAGCTAATATTAAAATTTCGTTTATTTCATTAATTTGAGTTTTTAATTTGAGTTTTATTATAGTTAACAGTTTTCATAAAAAATTACATTTAATTTTTTTTTGTAGTAAAAAGTTTTCATATAAAATCGCATCTCAGCTCAAATTAAAAAAAACTGAACGATGTCTTATTCAGAAAATTTGTTTCCTTAATTGGCATAATCTGTTCAATGTCTTTGTCATTAATCTGCTTGTTTAAACTCATGTTTATCAGATTTTGATAGATAATGGCAAAATTCGGTCCTTGAACGAAGCTTTCTTTCCTCCCTCAACCTTTTTGATTGAAGCTGCATGGCTGAAAACAAAACTATTATCATTTTTTTTTTCTTTTTGAGGTTAAAACTAGATTAGAACTTTATATGATCAGATTCAAACTCGCTTTTTCGTTGGCAAAAGCAATGGGTTGTTCAATTATTAAAAAAAGGACAAAAAAAAATAAAATAAGCAATGGTTTTTTTTTTTTTTTTTTTTTTTTTGCCCTTTTTTCTCTATGCATCGTTGTATGCACATGATTAGTTTAATGTTATACAACCTTTGCTAAATGGTATAGTTAGGATATATATTAGTTAACGAAAAATATCATATACACGTACATTGGGGAAAAAAAAAAGAAAAAAGAAAACCTAACCATTAATGAACTTGTGATAAGTTGGTATTATTATTTTAACTGTGTGATATTTATCAAACAATTGTAATAAATTAAGGAGACAAAAAAATGTATAAGAATTAATGAGATTGGATTCTTATAACACTACATCATTAAATTTTTATATTTAATGTGTAACTACCGATGTAAACATAATCATTAAAAAGTCGTCAATATATATACTATATAATATTGTAATATCTCTCACGGGTGATGTAAGGTTACCGTAAGGTTACTGTAAGGTTACTGTAAGGTTATCATAATCTCGTAGTGATATACACTTATTGGAACCCAACACTTAATATTGCGATTACTGTTCTCTCGCAATGTTATCATTTGTACGGTCGTAAATATTTCGTTATGTAATAATTTTATTGATTTGGTAATTGTTTTCTATGTTATTTTAACTAAATCGAGTAATAAGCTACTATTTTTTGTAATAAACCTAGTTTTCCATCCTTTCTGTTTTGATAATCGTAATCTTGTAAAATTATTGAAGTGTTTGGTATGGAGATTCGTGTCATAGTTTGAATCATAATTCGTAGTTTGTTACAGTATTTTCTCTCATAAAAAACGCACGTAAACCGAAAATGGTTATGAATCATGGTTTTAAATTTATAAACTAAACGTCTACTAAATTTATGCTTGAAATAGTTATTTGTAGTATTGTTATTATTCATACACGGCTAAATTAGGTGAGGTAACGTTAGCAGAAAATAAAGTAAGGTATAAGTGATACCAGCCTTCTTGAATGTAGCCAGTCATTCATTGTTGACATGTGATAAATTTTGAATTTATCAAAATGGTATGGAATCTAATCTGTTAAGCTGCTAGACTTTAATCAATTGTCAAAAAAATTGTGGCTCAAAATATGTGATTTTCTTTTTATGGAAAAATATGTGAATTTTAAAGTCAAATCAATATGACATGAAGAGATATCATGAATAATACTATTATTTTATTATTATAAATAAGTCTGTTATTCTTTTGCAATATTGAAACACAATATAAGGTGCCTACTATATATTCTTACATCAATGATTAGATTATATGCTAAATAAACGAAATAAATAAACCAAATCACGTTGAAATAGTACTTGGACATATTGCATGCGGTGTACACGAAACCGTTGTCTAGTTCAATGTACTTAAAGATTCATATCCAATTTTATACTTTTTAAGATTTCCGTTCTGATTTATAGTCATAAAAAATTTTCAATACGTCAAATACGAGGGTTAAGATTCTGGACGTTATCTGTACGTAGTTACGTTATTTAATTTTTTTTTTTTTTGGGGCAGAATTCTTTTGGTCTACTGGAAAGAAGTTATTTATTTGTAAAGAAAGACTTATAAGGGTAGATATCTCGAGAAGTAAGTCGTCCTCATGGGTGGTATGGATCACTCACGAAATCAATCATGCGTGAATTGAGTAGTTATATTTGCACCCTAAAAATTTATAAATGCCTTCATTAATTAATACTCATCTAATAAAAATTTGAAAAATCTATCTTTTTATAGATATAATTTTCATAATATCTAATTTAATCCTTTCATACCTACTAATTTTAATCTTAATTCAATTTATAATAATATATACTCTTTCAACTATTAATATTATATATATATATATTTTTTAATTAAATGCAACTCTCTTGACCTTTATTATCAATTGTCTTTGTCTTACCTCCTCTCCCTTCTTCTTTGAATTAGCAAATATAAGAACAACTCTCCGGGTTTGATCCTTACAAAGCTGCTCTTTTAATTGCTTTGACTAATTAGGCAAAACTAATGAAGACTTGTTCTTCATTACTTATTTTCAGAATTTTTTTGATTTAGTATAGAACAGAAGGTGAGAGTTTTTTTTTTTTTTTTTTTGAAAAATACTTTCTAATTGTCGGGGTTTGATAAATCTGGAGGGTATGACGTGGTGGGAGTATGCACGTGTAAGTATTTGACTTGTTGGTGGTGGTTCCAATGTGACCAAAACACTTAACATGCCCTCGAAGTAGATAATGATGGTAGGATCTCTGACGGTGGTGTGGTTCGCTTAGGCCCAAATCAGGCCGAAAAACACGTATTCTAGGACCCTCTTTGTTGCTAAAATCATGAAAATATTCCTACAAAAAATGTTAAAAAATCCAAAAAAATAATAATGAAGAACTTCGCGAATAAATAATGGTGGAAGGAGTGATCACGTAGTTGATGGAGAAGGTGACTCAAGAGGTGGATAAGACTTTTTGATGGAGAAGGGCTCCAAAAGCAATTTTTGAGCTGCTTTGGAGGCTTTGAATATGTAGCTTCGTTGGTGGATAAGGCACTGATGTAGAAAAATGATATGGAGGAGTATGGTGAAAGAGCTCCGAAAGTGAATGCAGGTTGTTCCGAGAGAGTGGAGACTGTTTGGAGCACTCCCTTCGACAGTGGATGAGAGTGGCTCCAAGGTTGGAGGCTTGAATACTTTTGAGAAAGTGTGTAAACAACTCTCAGGACGCTCTCAGGTGGTGTTAGAAGAGGATTGAAAAGTGTTCTTGAGGAGTTTCTAAAGAGGTCAACACTTAGAAACTATGGAGTTCCTCAAGAACTTGAATAAGGCTTCAAGTCTTTGTAGTAAAAGACTTGAAGAAGAAACTCAGAAAGAGATTTTGGAGTGAATTCTCAAGAGAGTGATAGTGAGATCTGATGTGTTGATCTAGCGTGCAAGTATGTTGGTGGTGAAATGAAGAGGGTGAGGGGGTATTTATAGAAGGAGATGGGAGTGCTTGACAGCTACTCTAACGGAGGTCTGAACACTCATTTCCGTTTTAAGGAAGGCTATCAGAGGCCTTTCTTAGTTTGACAAAGAAATGGTCTGGAAATGGAATGGAAGAAACGGCGGCAGGCTATCAGAGCATTCCCATTCAGAAGAAAGGTGTCAGATAGCTTTCTAAGTTTGACAAAGAGATTCACTAAAAATGGGACTAAAAAGTTTCTAGAAATTTACTTCGGCATCAATCTGATGAAATAAGGCACAAGCAATTTCGTTTGGAGTAAAATCACATCTAACTTATCAGAGGAGGAAAAATGAAACCTTAGAAGTGGAAATACTTGGAGGCCAAGTTTTGGAATTTGGGCTGACACAAAATGGCGTCAGATCTGAAATCTCCAAGAGTGTTTGGCTCAACCAAGTGCTCCGAAGATTTTTCTTTTTGGGGGTTGATTGCGTGTCAGACCTTTGTCGGAGGATGTTTGTGCGAGAATGACCAAGCAACCATTGTACTTGCTCTAACAAGAGGTTGCTTCGACGTCAGGTTGCTCCGAATGCGTACGAGTGCTCTGAATGGACAACCTGATAAAGAAAAGAGATGAGGAAGCATGCCTGACACGGTAAGTGCTCTAAGAGGCATGTCTGATCGCGAAAAAAGCCTCCGAATGAGCCAAGATTTATGGATTTCTTAGGCCTTTAAGTTGGAGAAAATTTTTGAAGGATCAGGCTTGGGTTTTGGGCCTTTCAAGAGTTGAAACAAAGGATTTTAGGCTTCTAGAGACAATGGAAAGGCTTTCTTGGGTTGAATGCTTCACCACCAATTCATGCTTAATTTGATTAATTCTGAAAAACCCCCCAAACAGGTTTTAAATTGGGTCAAATTAAGGACAACTGGGCCTACGTGATCACTCATGGGCCTATGTGATCACTCATGACCCACCAAACCACAACCACGGGAGTTTCCTGAGCGTAGCTTGGGTCTTCGTAACGAGCCCAATTATGTCGTGAGACGCAAGGGATTGGACCTAGACCTTTAATACTAGGATTCATGTATCAACACTAATTATAGTAAATCTAGGTGTATGCTCTTTTATTATTATTATTTTTAAATATTATTTCCCTTCATAACTAATGTGGTGTATGTTAATGAGTTTTAATGTAATTTTTTTGTGTTTGTTGTAGTTCTTGTTGTGTTGAGTTGTTTAGTTTATAAATCTAATTAGCTATACAACCATTTCAAAATTTTTAAAAAAAAAAGATATACAACAATATTTTTAATAGAAATATGAACAATATCTCTAATTTTTGAAAGAGAACCTTTTAAATTGTTGCCTAATACCTCAAAATTACTTGAACTAACTCTACTATCATGGTGAGACAGACTCGAACTAAGACATTATCGAATAGAATGAGTAGCCTTACTAAATGACTAATAACAGGTTCTTTTATGTTGTCGGGACACTTTTTCCCGGTACCGTGCCGAGAGATATTATCATTTATGAAATTTTACATTAGAACTTATAAATTCAAACGATAAAATTGCAAATTTGAATGATAATTTGTGAAATTTTAGATTTTATGATGAATCATTCGAGTTTACACGTTCTAACGTAAATTATCTTAAAATTTAAAATTTAAAAATTATCATAACTTTTACAACTTTATCATTTGAGTTTGTAACTTTTAATGTAAAATTTCACAAATTATCGTATGTTCAAACACGGTGCCCGAAATATCTCCTGACGGCATAAAAGAAGCCATGACATAGTTTTGCTCCTATCATTAACTTCATGTACTTTTCAATCATATACTTAATTCCCCGATGCAAGAAAGACATATTAGACTTCAAAAAAAAAAAATGAAAGAACTACTGAACAAAAAAAAAAAAGACAAATTCTTTGAAGGATTAAAGGACATAACAAATTTGTTTCTGAATATTTCTTAAAGTTTCTTTTTTTTCCTAGTGCACTCATCGATACATATTTAACTTGGAATCCGAATTTTTAATTTTGACAAATGCTATCCTAAATTTTAAATACTATTGCAACTGTGGTCCAATGGCTAATGAACACAATTAATGGATAAAAAGTCCTGAAAATATTGGCCTATTATCTAAAACTTAAACTTTCATTGGTCAACAAGTTAGACCTTGAACTTTTTAATTTTGGCATTTGAGACCCTAATTGCTGTTTGTTATGAATGGATTGAACAACATTGATAACAATTATCAAGTTTAGAATCTAAATGTGAACGTTAAAAGTTTGAGGTCCCAACTTGCACATGACCAAAATTTGGGACACATATTGGTGTAATTTAGCATTTCCTTAAATCAAATATTAGTATAAGCATTCCTCTCACACCACTCTCTCCCCTTATCTGTGTTTATATGTATTCGCCTTTTATCTTCCATATTTCTTTTCTTATTATTCCAAGATCCCACTGTACTTGCGAAATACAAGAGATAAGAGACCAGAGTGCACTTCTTTTAAAACTTTTTTAGTTTTGCACCCTCAATTTTTCCTTTTATAATTATGCTCTAAGTTTTTTTTTTTAATATATAGCTTACAATAAATCTACACCCCTCTCTCTTTTTTTTTTTAATAATTTGGTGTTCTAATTCTTCAACTCTATTATAAAATTAAATAAAAGTATTTAATGTTAAAGGTTAAGGGTCCATTGAGTTTTTAATTCAAATTGAGATGTGATTTTATGTGAAAGTTTTTTACTTTAGTAAAAAAATTAGATGCGACTGTTTTTGAAAATTTTTGTATAAAATTCGAATTCTACCTAGATATATTGAGCTGCAAAGTTGAGCAAAGTACTTGAGCCCAAACTATAGCAAGACTTTGGGCTAATGCATGGGCTTAGATTTCATATGGGTAGAAATAGTGGACCAATGTTGGGCTTTTGAATGAGGAAACCACTAGTCAGACATCCTAACATGGTAAAATACATGCTTGGAGTTGGCATCATTGAATATTTGAATTGTTGTATGCATCTACAAGTAATATTTAATGTAGTTTTAAGAGAGTGTGGGAAGTTTTTCTCTTCTTCAAGGCCATCAGAGGAGGCCATTAGCAGGGTGGCTGAGTGTGCGTTGGCATCATTGAATATTTGAATTGTTGTATGCATCTACAAGTAATATTGTTTTAAGAGAGTGTGGGAAGTTTTTCTCTTCTTCAAGGCCATCAGAGGAGGCCATTAGCAGGGTGGCTGAGTGTGTTGATAGCACGGTGGGTGAAAATAATCGCTATTCTCCTTTTAATGAGGAGGATATAAAACGGGCCACGTTTGCCATGGGACCGACAAACGCACCGGGCCCGGATGGCTTCCGAGCTATATTTTTTCAAAAGCATTGGTAGGGAAGTAACCGTATGAGGTCGATACATAGATCATTAGATACACTTATTTAAGAGAAAATCTAAATACTTAGTACTAAGAGAGTGAGAGGTAGACCAAAAATTATTTGGGCTGATGTAGTTGTGTACGACTTTCAAGATCTACAGTTTTAGAAGGGTCTCGTGTTTAATACAGCAGACTGAAAATGAAAAATTCATATAACTGACTCTAATTAATTTGATATTAAGACTTGTATTTATTGTTATTGTATTGGTAGAGAAGTAACGAAGAAGTGTCTGGAGTGTCTTTAGAGGTCGGGAAACGACAGCAGCACTTAATAAGGCTAATTTTGTGCTCATCCCGAAGAATAAGAACCCGCGAAAAGTAATGGACTACCGCCCTATTAGTTTGTGCAATGTTATTTTCAAGATCATTACTAAGGCAATCGCAAACAAGATTTAAGGGCGGGCTAGCTCCCAAAGATCATTTCAGAATGTCAAAGTGCCTTTGTTCCGGGGAAACTAATCTCCGACAATGTGATTACCTCTTTTGAACTCCTTTTATGGAGATAAATTTAGGGCTCGAAAGAAATTTTGCTTGCGGTATTTTTATTTAAACAACATGTTCTCTTATACATTTTTTGTTGTGGGTTATGATATGCTTTTTTTTTTCTTTTTTTAAATGAGAAAAGTAGTGTAATTTTATTAAAAAAACATATATGGAATGTGGGTGTATTTTCCCATAAATGAAAAAATGTGGGTGTATTCCTAATATGGTTTTATTGTAATCTATTAAAGGATAAAATTGTAATATTAAATTTAATATTTTAATGGGGGTATTCATAAGCTATAAATTTAATTTATCTATATTAATATAAAATTCTATTTTGACAAAGGTAACTTTCAACTAACAACATAATTCACAGTAAGCATTTCAACCGCGCAAAAAATGTTAAATTAAGAAGGTTTTTTTCTGAGACATTGTTGTAAATAATATATTTATATAATTAAATTAAATAAAAAGTAAATTTAAACCATTTGAAATTTTATAATCTGAATGTTTCATTACCATTGGTAAAAAATAATTTATATGATAAAAAATATTTATTTACCTAAAATTTTTTTTATCAACCGTGAAAGAAAATTTACTGAAATTTTTTTTTACTAATTATAAAAAAATTATTTATATAATAAATTATTATTTGCTTTAAATAATTTTAAAATATACTATTTATTTTAATTATTTACTACAAATCTACTGACTACTGTATACTTTAGTTTCCTTTTTTATAATTTTTGAAAAGTCAAGTCAATGTTTTTGACCGATATTGGCGGCAGCAAGTACAACACTGTTTATTTATACCGATCGAAATCGTACGGACAGGATGTAATCTTTTGTAGTCTCATTCACCTGATCTCCCCAAGCGGGTCCCACTAAGTCCCGAATTAACACGTGGCATG